TAAAGAGTTACTTTGATAGAGTAAATAAAAGAGGTTTAAATCCTCTTATTTCTAGAATATTAGGACTTGAACCTACACCTAAGAACTCAAAATTCTCCGTGCTACCATTACACCACATTCTATAGTAAGGTCAGCTAAATAAGCTATCGGGCCCATACCCCGAAAATGTTGGTTTTAATCCTTCCCATACTAATTAACCCACTAGCATCACTACTAATTATAACAACACTAATCTCAGGATCAATACTAACCATATTCAGCTCACACTGATTAACAGCATGATTAGGCCTAGAAATAAACTTATTTGCCATCATTCCATTTATCATTAACCCGCATAACCCTCGATCAACTGAAGGTACCACAAAATATTTCCTCATACAAGCCTCCGCATCAATACTACTAATAATATCCGCCCTAATTAACTTTATGAATTCAGGCCAATGATCAATCATAAATTTAACTAACCCAATTGCCTCTCTTCTAATATTAATTGCCCTGTTAATAAAACTAGGAATAGCCCCCTTCCACTTTTGAGTTCCAGAGGTACTTCAAAGTACTTCTTTGCTAACAGGAATAATCCTTTTAACATGACAAAAGCTAGCCCCAATTTCTATTCTTTATCAAATCACACCATCAATTAATCATAACATTTTACTAGGCTCTGCCATTCTTTCAATCATAATTGGAGGATGAGGGGGTCTCAACCAAACTTTAATCCGAAAAATCATAGCCTACTCCTCAATTGCCCATATAGGATGAATAACCAGTCATTATTTATAACCCATCAATCACTTTACTCAGTCTACTCATCTATATTATTCTTACCCTAACATTATTCCTATTACTTAACCTTAACCGCTCTACCACCCTATCTATTCTAGCATCTAACTGAAACAAAGCCCCAATTATCACACTATTGATTCTTACAACCCTCATATCAACAGGTGGATTACCACCATTTTCAGGATTCATACCTAAATGATTAATTATTTAAGAAATCACCAAAAACAGTAACCTAGCTCTTCCTCTTATTATGGCTATTATAGCACTATTAACTCTTTATTTTTACATACGTTTAGCTTACTCAACAGCCCTAACTATATTTCCAACCTCAAACACAACTAAACTAAACTGACTCAACACACCCTCCCCAAAATCATCACTCCTAACCTCTATACTAGTATTATCAAACATACTACTTCCCCTTACACCGCTGCTATTGCTCCTAGAATAGAGGTTTAGGTTACATAAGACCAAGAGCCTTCAAAGCTCTAAGCAAGTTGAATTACTTAACCTCTGACTTAAGGACTGCAAGATTTAATCCTACATCTACTGCATGCAAAACAGACACTTTAACTTAAGCTAAGCCC